ACACGGGGCGTTCTCTTCTTTCACTCGCCCGTAATACTAATTTATCGTTCTCTTATTCTCTTCACAGTATTGAGATTAATGATGGTGCGTGAAGAGAACAAGAAAAGATAATTCCAAACCGGCCTCGACTTGCTCGCGAACTAGCCCGTATTTCGTTCGCAAATTCACTAATTTCATGCGTCACCTTGTAAATTTGTTCATATGCTCTCTACATTTAATATCTTATGAACACAACCTGCATTTTATCTCCCGGTAATACGGCTTCTCCGTTATCATCTTCTACCTCCAGTCCAACTTTGAGGTGGTCAGTTCCCTGGTGCCGCGGGGATGTCGCCAGCTGCTCCCACGCGATCCTACAAGCCCCTGATGTAGGTATGTGCGCATGTGGTGCGCAATTAAGTTTGCATGGCAAGTAGGCAATGTCGGTATGCAAGCGGCAGAGGAGCAACAACAGTGAAGCCTTTCATTGTTCGCTTGCAGTCCCACCATCCCACCTCTTGCCCAACTGCAAAAACCGCAGAGGCCCCAGGCGCCCGGACACATGTAACTAAAAGAGGCCTCTCACGCTGCCCAGGTTCCCACAGGCACGTGGACCGGGCAGAAGGAAGCGACGGCAAATTGAGGGTCAGAAACACAAAACTTAAACACCAGCTTTTCCATGTTCGCCTAGCTTGACCGTCATAGACATTCGCCCCCCAATGCACCTCCAAGCTTGCGAATGTCCTTGCTGTGTACTCAGTGTACTCCACAACGAGCTTTAGGACAGCATGGCTTGGGTCGCCACTCCAGCGACCAGTCGAGCATCTCCTCCTCTGAATCCTCCAGGCTCCGGCATGCTCCGGCGCTTTGCCTTTCCCTCTGAGGCAGACCCTACCTTCGTTTTGCTACGTGACTTTGCTCCGTTTTGCTCGCTGCATGCTACCTGCACTGCCTGCCTGTGCCTTGGGTGAACAAGCCAGGGAGAGGAAGTGCGCTAGCTCGCCAACCTCGGATCCATCTCTTCCCGAAAAGTAGAGCCTTCGAATGATTCTAAGACACGCTTGTTATGGAAACGCACACTACAGCCGTCTTGGCTTCTCCTTGCACCTGGCCACTGGGGTGGCTTCCAGGCTCGGCAGCCGGGATTTGCTGGGCCTAGTCAAACCCCGCCTAGTCAAACCCCCCCCCCCCCTAGTCTGGGCCTCAAAACTCTAGGCCTCAAAACCCCTAAGACTCTACGCCTCTAGGCCTCAAAACCCCTTACAGACGACCCCCTTGACAAGGAAGCAAGTCCGTGAACATTCCCAGGTCAACAGACGACCCCCTTGACTAGGAAGCACGTCCGTCTATACGGCGTGGCCACACAGGGCCGGGCGGTTACCGGCATCCCCATGGGCATCTTCTCCAGGTCCTCAAAGCATCTGACACATTGGGAGAGTCGAGTCCTCGGAAAGCAGGGGCGCGGGCAGATGGGAGGTGTGTACCCCAGCCATCATCTGGCGAAGTCCACCTTTTGCAACACAAGCACGCTCTGAGAGGAGGTTTCTCTTGGGTCTTCGCTCTCTTTTCGTGCTTTCTTGCGCTCTAAAAGCACTCGCTCTCTTCTCACTCTGAGAGAGCGCTGCGTTCTCCGCTCTCCGCTTAGGTACTACCCAGCTTGTCCGCTCTCCGCTTCTTGTTCTCTCTCTTTGCCTCCTTACCGCCGGCGTCGCTTCGTCACCTTCATCAGGCGCAGACCTCGAATCAAAAAAAGAAAAACGCGGAACCCTCTGCGGCTTCCTTTTCTTTTCCCTGTTCTCATCTCTCTGTAGCGTGGTCTGTGCCTGGACACACCCACCCCGCCTTGAGAAGTGGCCACTATCAGATGAGATGGCTCTGAGTTGATTCACCGAGATTCCAAGCGCCATCTACAGAGAAGATGCTGCAATACGTCTGAGGCTGCCTAAAAAAGGCGAACATCGGTCACCTTCAGTATCGCTCGGCAGTACTAGCACCACAGAAGGGGGGACATCCCTAGTGGCACGGCACCAACCTGTTCAATTCTGTTCGATTCTGTTCCCCTTCCGGGACGGACCCTTTGACCTGTGGATGGGACAGGATCTACAAGAAGAGGACAACCCTGCAATCACCGAGCGCTTGGAAATTTCCAAGGCAGAAACGCATCCTCGGGGCCAGCAGCATCAATCTCACAGACCTGCACAGCTTCTGAACACAGACCCACATTTTGCCTGCCCACCAGCCCCCATCCACGCGCCCCCATCACCCCCACCGCGCCATGTACCCACGCACCCTTGCACGACCCCTGAAGGGTTGCGGGTTGATGTTTTTCACCCGTGCTGGTTGAGTACAGGCTTTCCGGTGCTCAAGTATGCGTGATAACCACATCTCTTTGCTGCAACGGGGCCGAGCCAGGGATATTCAACTTCAGGCACTGCCAGTGACCAAAACTCAACGATAATGGCCTCTGCCAGCACGTCAGTAGGAAATGCTGCGGACACCTGGACAAGAACCGAGGAAAATGTGCACAGCTCTATGGGAGGAAAGCGGGTCTGAGAAAGAAACCACTCCGGTGCAAAGTTGAGGTGCATCGTCCTCCGCAACCTCCTCTAGCAGGCTGTCACGGCCCTGCGACGAAAGCTCACGATGTTCATGGTGCCAATTCATGGCATTTCAATGGTCCAGGATGCGCCATGGTTCATGATGTTCATGCAATGCCCATGCGACGTGCGCCGTGTGCACCTCACGGCGGAGCATGTCACCAGCGCCAGCATGACCTGACACTCTTGAGGCTCTGAGACTCTGAGATCCGTGGTGGGTTCGCCACCATGGAATGAAAAAAGGGTGATCGAACCCGGCCACACCGCTGCGCCACCGCACGGGAAATACTCCCGGGATCTTTGCCCCCACAAGTATTCCGAATGCCCAGTAACGCGCGTCCACACGCATCTTAGGGCGAAAAGCATGTCTAACTGGAACAAGAAAGCCACAGTTTCGCCCCTGCACGCCAGAAAGGTCCCACCCACCAAAGTATGCTTTAAAGGGGGCCACAGTTTCCCCACTCCTGAGCTGGAAGCGTCGACATTTACGACTCCATTTGCGCCGCTCCTTTGCAAGCCGACCTCCGGTGATCTCTGAGCCTCCCGCCACCCTCCGTCGCTGGTCCTTTCGCGCTTTTCCAGCTGTGAAGTCTAAGAGTCTAAGAGTCTGCTTAAGGCTCGCTCGACTCGCTCTCGTTACTTCAAACTGAATGATTCAAATCCGTGGCACCTCTGGACCGTTTGGGTCGGAGCGAGGGCACCGGGTGCTGCTCACCTCCGCCACTGATCCGATGTTACTGCGATGCTAACACATCAAAAAGGTGCAACATGACGCCGAGCTAAGGGCTCAGGACGGCCGCAAGCACACTCTGAAGAGGCAGCTTGACATCCACGGCCTTTCTTAAGACCGATGCAAGGGTAAGACCTAAGACCACACCCATGAAGCTCAATGAATGAGAAGTATAAGGCAGCAACCAGCATGCGGACTCGCTCTGGAAGGACATCGGTCACGTGGACCGCCTGGCAATCACTTCCGCTGGCAATCATGCAAGGGTCAACATGCAAGCAACTGCCGCTTTCATCCACCTCCATTCTTGCGTTGTCTGTCTCTCACCTAGAAACAGCTCCATGATTGTGGCGCAAGTTTTGAGCGATGCCCGTGGGGGCAATGCGAGAAGGCCCAGGAATGAAGCTTCGTGAGCCACAGGCCGACTGCTGCTCCAAAAGGGAAAAGGATGGGCTGGTCAGACAGGTGCCCTTACAGCCATGACGTAATTAAAAGAGCGAGCTGTGCGGGCGGCCGCACATAAACTTACAAGAAGGAAGATTGAGGCCCACTTCTGCAGAACCGACTATTTGCTTGCTGAAGCCGACACCTCTACATCATGGATTGGGTAGCCTAGCTGCGACGGGCTTAAGGGCGAATGCGCACGCCCGAGTCCAAGCATGCCCCAGCGAAGAAGCCGACTCTCACGTAACAGAATATAACAGGGGACTCTAAAGAATTCAGAAAGGTACGCCGCCCCGACACATCCGGCACATGCAAGAGCTGCCATGAGGATCTGTCGCAAGGCTGATCGCGCTTTCTGCACCTGAAGAATCAGAGATGCAGAAAGGTGTGAGCTGAAAAGCAGCAAAGCACCAGAAGACAACACGCGGCTGGGCTTCTAATCGGGCTGTCCGAGCCTCCTCATTGCTTGTACCTGCAATGGAATCCGGAAGTCTTCAATGGCAAATAACAGGGAGGTTCTGATGGCACTGAGGGCACCCATTTCAAAGGCCAGAGCTGCACATCCATCCAAGGAGGTCTTTGCAAGCACTGGGCCTGATACGATCTGAGACTCGGCAACTTCGCCACTACGTCTGCTGGTCCAATGCCGGCAACAGTGATGGGGCTGTGCTGCGTGGTGTCTGGAGCTACGACATCTGGGAAGGGACTGTACCTAATGAGAAGTACATGTGATAGACACATGGGGGCACACGGCTAGCGAGCCAGAGCTTGCGCCGATTCCGGGCTCGAACTTCGCAATACAGTTACAGTGACGACAGAAACTGACCCAAAAGCAAAAGAGGAACTCAAGGTTCGGGGAGGGAGGTGCGGGGTATGGTGCGACGGGTCTTGGACCTTGCGGAAGACGCGTGGGGCCTGTGTAGCAACACGCACCGCAGAAGCGTCGGCGCACCTTTTCCAAGCTTGGCCTGTTGCCAACAGCAGCTCGAATTTCCACGGGCGCATACCGCTTGGTCAGATGCTGACATTACACGTGTGACATGTGACGCATGTGTTTCTTTCCAGCTCCAGGTGCTGTGCGCCCCTGCAACGGTGAAATTGCTCAGCTTGGGTGGTGAGACTTTTGTCTGGCTTTTTTGCTCGCCACTTTGCGCTTCGTTTGCTGTCTGCATGCTGCTGTTGCCGACCAACTCTGCAACGCTTCAAACCGCTCAAGAGACTCTTATGATCGGGATCTCTGACTGACACCGTGCTCACGCTGGCAATGGCGTTCTGTACAGAGACGTGGTTGATCGCTCCGTGACAACCAAGTGCCTGGCAATCTTGCTGCACTGCGGCGTCCCATCGATGCAGCAGATGCCATGCAATGCGATGCAGTGCAGCGGATTGCCTCTGATCCGGAGAGATGCAGAGGCCTGTGATCTCTGGCCCCGGTACGCTTATTGCCGCAGTGACCTGCAGGCTTCGAAAGAGTGGCTCACGCCCAACAAACTTTACCTCCCAGATCAGGGCTGCGGCCTCCCCTTCTGGATTCAACACGACCTGGTTCTGAGCTGCTTCTGCTCTTCTGAAAGTGCAGAAACGCCGCGGCAACAAGGCAACAGTGCGTCATGGCGCATAGCCGCATAACTCTTAGGCCGGCACCACTCGGCCCGTCTCCGCATTGTCCGCAAAATCAAAGTGGGCAACGTAGATGTCACCAGCAGCACTGACCTGCGCGGCAATGCTGACAAAGAATCATTACGCTCCATCCCGGTCCAACACCTCTCCCCTCCCCCTTCAAGAGGACATAGAAAACAACAATCAGAGGAGGGGCCAAGAGACTGCAGAGCGCCCCTTTTTTGGCTTCGCGACAGCTTCGGGTGCAGCCGGAGAGCGATCGAAAATTCGGAGCAGCGGCGCATTGCACTGACATTTAGGGGCCCTGAAGTGTGCCGGAAATGCACCGGAATCCTGGAGTCTTTCAAAGCACGAAAAATCCGAAGCCCATCCCCGAAGTAGCCGAAAGCATCCTTCTACTCCGGCTAGAGACTGGCGCACCGTCCGACCTTGCAACTCACCTGCGGCCATCAATGAGTGGGATTGCCACGTCTTGGGGTTTGGGTCCGAGACGAGCCTCTCCGGCTCGCTGCAAGAGGTTGTCTCTAAGTATGTTCTGGGATTCTGGGCTTACGCTTGAGCCGACGGAGCCTGACGGAGCTGCAAGACGCTCAGTCCAACAGTCGCGCAGCTACCAAAACTTTCACTTATTCCGCGCGCTCTCTTCCCTCTCACACTCCAGAGCATGTGGGTGGCAAAAGAGGGTGGGGCGTACTGCCAATGCCGTGGGGCCGAAGCGCCCAGAGAGTTGGGCAAAAACGCTGCAGTGAAAGACTTGCGGCCTTATGTGACACCAGGGGCATTGGATTCATTCGATGCGCTACATCACATGAAGGCCTTTGTACCGAGAGAGAGGAAGAGAGAAAAGAGAGGAAAGAGAGGAAAGAGAGGAAAGAGAGGAAAGAGAGAAAAGAGAGGAAAGAGAGAAAAGAGAGGAAAGAGAGGAAAGAGAGAAAAGAGAGAAAAGAGAGAAAAGAGAGAAAAGAGAGAAAAGAGAGAGAGAGAGAAAAAGACAAAGCAACTCCGCAGCTTCTGAGCAGCTACTCAGTCCTCGACGGGTGCTGCGTGAATCGGAGGATGCCTCGGCACCGGGAAGCAAAGGCAGCACTTGCGGCTCACTGTGATAACTGGTACACCCCTGGCAAGTTGGGATGAAGAATTATCAGTACGTCGACTTCTTGCATCGTAGAAACGGTTCATTGCCATCTCTGCAACCTCAGGGAACAGCAAGAAACTGGCGGACAGATTGATCAGAAAGAGACAGACGGATACGTTCCAGGCGACGCCAAGTAGAGCACCGTTTGACTTGTCCACTAAGCAGCCGGCGTAGATGTTTTTCTCATCCGGAGACAAAGCTACGCCGCAAGGATGTGCAAGAGTGTTGAGGCACAGTGGGATCAACCTCACTGACTCGCAGCTTCCGACGGTGCCATACGGTGCTACTGGCTCTTCGACTTGTTGCCTGTTCTTGGGGCAGCGCAGCTGCGTCGAGGGGCTAATGGCAAAGACCGAACCACGAGGGTTCTGCAGCGAGGTCTCGCCAAAGGGCCTACAGTGCGTCAACTCTGTGCATCAAGTTTTGCCAGATTGCATACGTTAACTCTATAACCGAAGAGTTTTGCAAACCCGTCTCCCGCCCTAGAAATAATTCTCTGAGACTTTGGGCCCGCTGTCTGTGAAGTAGAGCATGCCGGTCCTCAGTGCACTTGTCCATCTGTGCTCTGTGGCTCTGCCCATCTTCCCATCTTTCCAGATTCACGCTGGGACCGGGGTCCGCTGGGGTCCGCTGGGGTCCGCTGGGGTCCGCTGGGGTCCGCTGGTCTCCGCTGGGTGCGGAGCTGCCGTGACAAGCAGAGCGAGTTTGGCCTCCGGTAAAAAGAGCGGTGAAAAAAGTCACGCTGCGCGCCGACCATCTGTGCCGCGTGCCCCAGGAACTGAGACTGCTCGTACCTCGACACAGCGCTGCGATCTGCGCGAATAGAGTGCCACCGCACTATGACATAGCGATGTGGCGCACTCCTTGACGTAGGGGTCAATTTGGTGCGCGAAGGTGCCACCTTCTCTTTCTACCTTGGGAAATCGGAGCACGCTGCTGGGAATGAAACATAACCTCACTGGCGGTAACGGAGCCCACTGAGCCCACTGAGCCCACTGGCGCGCAGGATCCGGAAGATCGCTTGGTGCGCCGCGTCGCACACGAAGGCCACGCCCTGACACAGGGAAGGGGCGCGAAAGCGCTTCCCGAAGGCAACGAGAATGCAAAATGAGTGCTTCTTTGTGTGCGTGTGTGGTGTGCTTTTTGTTGTGTGCTCTGTGAGTGAGGCTTGGTGACGATGATGACGATGATGGCGATGTCACGGCTGACGCTCTCAGCGTTTCCCCCCCGAGCCTGGCTGTCAAAGTCTATGCCCATAGGCTGCCCTGAGGAGTTTCCCCAAGCCTCCATCTGGAACCTGTCACTCTGGTTCTCTCTCTTCTCGGAACAATTGGATCCCAAGGACCCCAACCCGCCATGGGCCAAGGTCGGCACTCGCCATCATAGCCTTCGGCGGTTGAGTAGCGAAAGATGTCGCCCGAGGCAGACACCGCGAACAGGTCACCCGACCTGGTGGCCAGAAGGGAAGACTCCCAGCTTGCAGAAACAGCAGTGCTGAGTGGTGAGATCTTCTGAGTTTAGGTCGGCCCATACGTTGGCGAGGTGACCGGGTACTCATTACCGATGACCTCACTGCTGCTCCCGCACAAGCTCCGAAGAACATGATCCTTGTGGGCCTGAAGGTCATTGGACATCGCTTCTGCGTAAGGCTTTGCCTCACAACGAAGGCTTGTGGGCACTTGGGCAACGTGCAGCATGTAGCCTGAGCCGTTCACCTCACAGAAGGGCCCCCCAATGTCGGGCAATTGAACTTCTGAGCAACATACGGCCCATGGCAAGTTTGTGCAATTATCAACTGCTTTCCTCACATTCCTGACCGAAGCGAGCAATCGGAGCAGCCTCTTCGGGCCGGGGAATGGAGGCGGGGGGGGATTGAGGAGTTCTAGCTCACACACCCGTCGAAAAGGATGTCATACGCGGTATACGCGACGAATTGATCTCATCGTCCATGCGCTGTTTGCAGCAGTCGTCGTTCGTGATTTGCAAGATGACGTCTCGAAAATGCGTTACGGGCTGACAGTGAATGTCTAGATGCCAGAGGTGGCTGGCAGCTTCTACGACTCGCAGCAGCTGACCTCTTGTCATCTCGGGAACAAGCATGGCAGTAGGGCACCCTTTTTTCATCCGCCTAAACTGTTTGCAGCCGACGGTGGACAGACCACACCAGATCACACCGGCAGCTCTCCTTTGCTTCGATGCGAGGCATTCGAGGCGTCTCTTCAAGCAAAAAGAGCTCCCGAGAATCAGCAAAGCAAAAATGCAAAAAAGAGTATCCTCTGCGACGGTGTTGCCGTTGGGAGAATGTCTTCCTGCCTTACACCACCGTGTGGCGCAGAGGTGTTGCTTGCAGCACATCTTTTCCCCAAGATAGAGATTCGGGGGGATTTCTCGGGAATTTCGGGGGCTGGTTTGTGAGAAGCATCCGCAGTTTGGCACCTCTGGGTTGATGTTCTTCATGGATCCCTCATCTTACCGCGTCTTCAGAAAGCCGAAGATCGAGTACCTGACAGACATGGGGGGGGGGGCCTGAAAGACCAACCCTGGGAGAGGATCGCTGAACGAATCTGATGGTGCACTTCTTCCGCATGCCCATCACAGAGAAGGGCATCAGTATGAACACCTTAAGGTGAGAGGATCAGGGGGCGATATGATCGTCGCGGGGTCTTGAGCGGAATCGTGCCCGAGTCCTGAGCCACGATGAGGACAGCGCCCACAAGCCATGGCCTGAGCGGAATCGTTGCAGGGCGTTGCGCTTCTGCTCTCTGAAGTCTTCAGTGTGCTTAACAAAATGCCCTTCTTCTTCTTGAGCCCGCTCTCTAAGAGGTCCCCGGCCCGGTCTGCAGCTCCGGGAACTCCGATGTCGGCACTGGCACCGGCGCATCGGTCATCGCGCGCGCGCGCCCCTTGTGCAAGTGGAGAGGCAGAGGGAGGGAGAGAGAGGGAGAGAGAGGTCTCTTCTTCTTTTGAGGGAACCTCGCTCTGCTGAGCGGAGGAAACCACCCTGCTAGCACTACTCCCACATTGCACTCACAGAGGCACGGGTCCCTGCTCGCAACAGCTGTATGCCAAAGGGGCAAGAGAGAGAGGCCTGCAGCGTCAGAGCATCAAGCTGCGGAACAGTGATGACATGGGGATGCGGCTTCTTATCTTGAGGAAACCCGCAATAGTCTTCGCTCTGCAAGCGCTGTGATTGCAAAATGTATCCGGTGACAGTCGAAGGGTGCTGTGGAGCATCTGGACTTTGAGCGCTTTTCGGACTGAACTCTGCTTCCCCGATCTCTGGTTCTGCTGTTCACCGTGCTCACAATGCCACCATGTACTCTTGGGCCGAAATGTCTCAACAGCACATCTCCAGACATCTTCAGACTCTGACCCGCGACGCGTGCAGATCTGCACAAAGGGACGAAGACAGAAACCGCTTCTACAATGAGATTTCCTGTCTGGCATCCTGTGGCGTTTTCTCACTTGAGCTTTCGGGGTGGACGTCGGGAACGGGTTGTGAAGTTGCGGGGTGCTGTCATGTCGACGGGTGTTTTGATACTCTGTTCTGGGTCACTTACGAGCGCACGTCCAAGGACGTGCTAGGGGCATCGCCACATGCACAGCCAGCTCTCACTTCGCCACGCCACCGCAGCTTTTCTAGCCTCTGGGATGAGGAGTGGACACTGAGAAAGAAAACAAAAATTCGGGCCGTTCTTGGGTGCTTTCATAGGCAGAGCGCCACTCATCAAGTTCTGCCAACGTAGACCTGCTGATTCCTCTCTCGCTCTCTTTCTTTTCTTCTTTGCTTGAAAACAAAACTTCTTTATTTGTTCTGTCGCTCTTTCTTGGGGATGGGGAGTCCCCTTGGCAGTTGTGTCCACCCTGGGTTGGGGGTTGTCGCTTTGGGGTAGCAGTGGGGCGCAGGACCGACGTTGCCACTTTCAAGACAACCTGCAGTCCCCATTCAACACGGCCTCTCCTACCCCCAAACTCGTTTCTCTCAGGTCAACTACCACCGGAACTATCGGCAAGAGAACACACTAAACTCTCCTTCTTCCGCTTGGGGGGTTGCGCCCCAGGGCGCAATCGGTGCGAAACCGAGTACAGCAAAATGCACAGCCAAAGTCAACTCGTGTTCCCATAGAAACGGTTCTGTGGGGCAGGGAAGCCAAAACATGCCTATCCTGTTGGAATGAAGCATTTTACCCTGGCCCCGAATTGGGACTTCCACCATCCTTAGTTACTGGCAGAAAGCTTCCCCCCCGGTACAGAAGTCGCTGGAATGGGAACTGGCTACTCAATCGCTTTCTCTCTCACACTCAGAAAACGGACAGGCTCTCCTCCCCTGGCCTCTGCGTGCGCCTGCTTGGGAGCCGAGGGAGCCGCGCCGCCCCGAAGACCTCGTGCGTACACATACACATACACATACACATACACATACACATACACATACACATACACAGACACAGACACATACACATACATACACATACACATACACATACACATACACATACACATACACATACACATACACATACACATACACATACACATACACATACACATACACATACACATACACATACACATACACATACACATACACATACACATGTACATGCAAATATGCATACACACTTGTATGCAACATTGTAGCTATATATACATACATATATACATCCCCTTGAGAGAGGCAGAAAGAGAGTCGCTGTCGGACATGCTCAAGATGGTATATATGCCTTGTAGTGTATAAGGTGACACCATGCTCAGGCTCTTGACGCTCGTTTTTGGGACGCTGGGCCCCCGGCTGCCCGCTCTTCCTTTCACCACGCGATGCGCTGGGCCTCGAAAAAAGGAAATTGCAGCTTCGTTCAAAGGGGCGGCCGTCGATAGATCCCTCCAGAAGCTCGGAAGCCCGAGCCCGAATCCAAGAACAAACACATACACACACAACAACAAGAAGAAGTCCTCCCGGAGATGGCGTGCCACCCTGACGCTCTAAGTCTGCAGTGCTCCAGTCAAGGTCCGAGCCCTCTGACCATCGCGCCTCCAACGCAGAGCTGGAGGAGACAAGTCGGGAGACTTGTGTTTTGGCCCATGTTCAACAAAAAATATGCATATATATATATATATATATATACATACATACATACATACATACATACATACATACATACATACATACATACATACATACATACATACATACATACATACATACATACATATATGTGTGTGTGTTCAATGTTGCCGACTCCCTCGCGCGCTCGCTCAGATCGGATTTGAAATAAGCAACAAGCAGCCAAAGCTTCCTTCGTTATATATATATATATACGCACGTGCTCCAATGCTCGCTCTCTCTCTCTCTCTCTTCTCTCCTCTCTCTTCTCTCTCTTCTCCCTCTTCTCTCTCTTCTCTCTCTTCTCTCTCTCCTCTCTCTCCTCTCTCTTCTCTCTCTTCTCTCTCTTGTCTTTCTTCTCTCTCTTCTCTCTTCGCTGTTCTCTCTTCTCTCTTCTCTCTGTTCTCTCTTCTCTCTTCTTTCGCCGGCCTCGGGATGCCTCTGTCGGAGCTTCTTTGGGAGTGCTCGGCCTCAGTGCTCGGACGTCGGTTGAGGGCGACAAGTATAAACGCAATGAGGCACTTCTCTGCTCTCAAAAGTCGCAGCAGAGCTCTCTCTCTCTTCTCAGAAAAAGGTCCTCTCTGTACCAGACTGATTTCTCTGCTTCATCATCTCCCCAAATGTCTTAAAGCGTTCCCAGGCGGTCTCTCGCACGCCTCTCAAAGATCCGGACTTCCCAGGCCTCGACCCGCCTGCTGGCGCCTGATCCAAAAAAAAAGGCAATCCTATGAAAAACACGCGGGAGGAATGTCTGGCCAGGCCCCTCGAAGCGGTGTGAAAAGCTGTGAGGTCGTGAAATCGTGAATTCGCCACAACGGCCCAGCTCCTCCCCTTTTTTCCCTGCAGGATGGCCCAGTCCTCGGGCCCTTTGCCACATCCGTGCCACTGCACCGCTGCACCGCGCGCTGCTCATGCCATCTCATGCCATCTCATGCCATCTCATGCCTCTGCACGCATTGCCACGGCCACTCCAAGTTGGAAGTGGCTTCGCAAATGCTCGCAGATCGCTCGGAGATCGCTCGGACAGGGCTCGGAGATCGCTCGGAGATGGCTCGGAGATGGCTCGGAGATGGCTCGGGAGGACTCAATATCGCAGGCCCGGTGTGCGTCGAACCTGGTCGCCCAGAGGCCGTGCTGCGTGTGCTGTCCAGATTCAGAGCCACTTGTCCGTTGCAGTCACCACTCACTCTCCGGAAGCCGTCCCGTCTCGCGAAAGCCGGCTGCATACTTTGGGAGCCCGTCGCCTCGGCAGAACATCCAACGAAAGAGTAGTGGCGAGTTCGCTGCGGTCGTTGCGCCAACTGAGGGTGGCACGCACATCCATGACACGATCGTTGTAGTGCAAATGGTGCATTGGCCGGAGCCCAGGCCGGTGCCTCTTCGCTTCAAGCGCTGCTTGATATGCTTGCAGAGATGAATGTTAGCCTTTGGGCAGCGATTGGCAGCGGTCTCCCGGCCTCGGGCTACTCTCCGCTCCTACTCCTCTGCCTTCGCCCGCTTCCACCGCGTTCTGAGCTCCTCCCCTCCACGTTGTCAGCAGCGAAAGCGGTACGGCCACCAGCTTGCCTGCCGGGGGCGTGAAAGCACCGGATGAACATCGGACGAACCAAGCGCCAAGCCCTCGGCGACCTGAATCTACTCTCTCTCGCACACCTCCCTGGAGGGTGCCGCGTACTGGAGCATGGCAGGAGGCACAGCGGCTCCGCTCAACACCTCGGCATATGGCTTTTCAAGCAATATCCAATGCAGTACGAAGCGGCATATAATGAAAGCGACACACACACACACACACACACCCACGCACCCACACCCCCCCCACACACACACACACACACACACACACACACACACACACACACACACACACACACACACACACACACAACACACACACACACACACACACACACACACACACACACACACACACACACACACACACACACACACACACACACACACACACACACACACACCACACACACACACACACACACACACACACACACACACACACACACACACACACACACACACACACACACACACACACACACACACACACACACACAAGCGACACACCAGGCGACACACCAGGCGACACACCAGGCGACACACCAGGCGACACACCAGGCGACACACCAAGCGACACACCAAGCGACACACACACACACACACACACACACACACACACACACACACACAGAAACAAGTACCTTTCGACTTGCCTCTCGCAGTCTCTCAGTTTCCATCAGCTCACACTTCCCCGCGTGCCTTTGGACGTACGCAACTGCACGAGGCTGGACCCCGGCTGCAGCTCCAGCGCCACCTCCAAAAGCAAAGCAAAGGTATAACAAGCAAAGTAGAGAATGCAAGACCAACAAGAATTGGGACAGCCTGATGGTATTTGCCATGCTTTTGGAAGCAGCGAATTCGGCGACCATGGTATTTGCCATGCTTTTGGAACCAGCGAATTCGGGGACCATGGTATTTGCGATGCTTTTGGAACCAGCGAATTCGGGGACCATGGTACTTGCGATGCTTTTGGAACCAGCGAATTCGGGGACCATGGTATTTGCGATGGTTTTGGAACCAGCCACGGAAGCTCCTTGCGATGGTTTTGGAAACAGCGAATTCGGGGACCATGGTATTTACGATGCTTTTGCAAAACAACGAGCAGCCTCTTTGGTCTCTCCGAGGTCTCTCTGTAGGGCCCCGGGCCTGGTCCTCTTGGAAGAGCGCTTGGCAGGAGAAGGGCGACCCAGAGAGGCGGCGGCAGATGGAGCAGTGGCAGTAGCCTCGCACTCGCACTCGCTATGTCTCCATGTCTCTCTCACCTTCCAGTGGCGCGCTCCAAAGTTCACCGTTCTTCCTGCCAAGGGGCTAATGGCTCTCGCCTCACCTCGACAACGCACCCGCACCTCGCCACCTTGAAGACACGGTGAATCAAAGCTCTATGAGCGATCTTGACCCATGCTTCCCCGCACTTAAGCCAGGACACAGTAGCAGGCCCCCTCGTGCGTGGGACTTGGAGCGGCCACGACCTTGACACGGCCAAAAGGGCTGCAGAAGGCGGCAAAACCTTTCGGGACCCGATCCGACGCAAAGCACCTGCTCGGACTGATTCGGCTCCTTCGCCTCCTTGGAGGGTGCGTACCCGAGCTCTCCAACCACGCGCCCAGCAGCAGCGGCCTCCCTGGTGTGCCTCGCCCACTCGGAGGCAGTCGCTGCATTGCGCGCTCGCCGAGGGCACTCCGCTCAGAACTTCTGCCCGACCCAGTCAGAGCCTCTCAGCAGCCCGCAGCACCAGCTCCGCATTCGCAGAGGCATCCGCGGTAGGGCCTCTCTGATCCGATGTGTTTCTGACTTCGTTGGGCTTTTCAGATCCAGAGGCGATAAATCGCCCGAAACCTCTGAGGTAGCGGCAGTCAACATCAACTCGCGCGAGGCATTCACTCTCTCTCGCCCAGATATCGTAAAGCTTGTCGTAATAGTCCAGCATCATGGCTGCCACCTCAGATGAAGAAACGCCACGCCAACTTGGCGCCAGGACCCAAGCAGTGCCTCCTCCCAACGCCCTTCGTCCAACATCTGCAGCGCCTCCTGTCAGAATCGGAAACAGAATCAGCTGGGCGCCTACGTACTGGAAAAAAAACAAGGGCCAAAGAAGGCATGACTGTCAAGACTGGTGCGGCACGCTGCTCTGTGCTGATCCTTGACGCGCTGTCCACCCAGCCGCTTTGCCAAGCCTCCCGAGATGCCTCAAGGGTTCTCAAGAGTTCTCAAGATCGAAAGAAAGTTTTGAGCAGTTTAAGAAAGGATGTCGGACTCACAGCTGCACAGAACAGTGCATTACGCTGTAAGGGCCACATGGAGATGAGGAGCACTGCTTCAGCTCGTCCTTTCCATGATCCTGCAGCTTGGCTTGGGCGCAGTAGTCTTCCACCAACCTCTCCGACAGAGGAGTCTCAGTAGAGTCCCAGTAGAGTCAGTGGTGACCGCATGCCCAGCTCACAAGGATCAGCAATATTTCAAGCCAACACCTCTGCACTCGCAAGGACTGCTTCATGGAGAGGAAGATCATAGCGCCTCGACGCAGCGGCGAGGAATTACAAAAGGAAAGCCGGTTTCTGGACTGGATTACCTGCTGCCTTGCCGAGGCTTCTGCCCGGCTTCGTCACCCACGACAAGATGCCCACTGGGACGAGCACCTTGCGACACACACGTCTCCGCGGGGCAGCGGAAGAAGTATTATTCAGCCATTGGAGCAAAAAGCCCGGGACGGCAAAACACGGCAAACCGCAGCGCAGAACATCCACAGGCAAGCCTAGCTCTTTCAGTCCTTCTATGTCCTATGTCCTTCTCATGGGCGTTTGTGTGATATTGTGAGTTTTTGCAAAGGTACTGTTGGGGGGATGTGGGAGTTTCTTGTATCGGGCGCGCCTTGCCCACGTGCCTGGCCTCGTGCTCCAACCAGAGCCGGAACCCGGGCTTCACGCGGCGGACGGCAAAGGCCAGCAGGTTCTCGTAAGCCTCTGAAGGCTTCTGAAGGGTCCAAAGGCCGCCCGCAGGGGTTAGGGGACTTTTTTCACTGACGTGTGCGCCTCCTGAACTTGTCTTAAAATGCGCGAAAAGGATTGCACAGCTTGCAAGCGAGCAGGAAACGAGGGCTCTTTGCAAATGAACTGCTTGATACCTAAGCAGGAAACCAGGAGGAAGCCAAGTAGAACTGAAAGGCCAAAGTCGGCCAAAGGGCAAGGAACCCCCACACGGAGGGAGTTTCACAGCATGGGCAGAAGGCGATCCCTGTGCCTCATTGCTGGGCTGCTCAGGCTGGCCGATGGCACCTTCGCCACACCGCAAGAAAGTGCAACAGAGAGGGAGACATTGCGGCACGCAGCGGCACGCAGCGGCATGCAGCGGCACGCAGCGGCACGCAGCGCCACGCAGAGGCACGCAGCGGCACGCTTGAGCTCCAGGCCAAAAGCAGAGCCTCGGTGATGAGCCAAAGCCTCCACAGCTTCAGAGGCGAAGTCAAAGCGTACTTTGCGTAGATTTTGCGAAGACGTCGTATCATGTCCGGAATGGCCTCCAGGTCGATCACCTGCTCGCCACGCTGCCGCAGCTCCCACAGAACCGCGGTCTTCCCAACACCGGTGCAGCCGCCCAACACCCAGACCTGCAGATTACGGACTCCGCCTTGTCATGGCATCTCGTACGAAGCTCATATAAGCTCATACAAGCAGGCCTTTCCCACCTCAGGGACCTGCTGGTTTGCAGCTGAGCAGCCGGGGCCGGGGCCGGGGCATGCTCCTGCCCGACCACAGTTTTGCCTCGTGCTTTTTCTCTGCCTTTTCTGGAACTTTCTGGAGCTCCTATTTTCAACTGTGCCTGAGGCTCGTACACCAGCGTCTAAATCCACGGTAGCCTCCTTTCAGCGTCTGCGCCTCAAGTTGTCAGGGCTCAAGGCCCCCAGGACCCGATGATCTCCAATGCCCCCCGTAATGGAAGCATGAGGCACCTGGTAGCCGCAGAGGCTGAAGAGCCAAGCCATGGAGCCCGAGCGCATCCCGCCGCGCCAGCCTCAGCGCTCTGCTCCCCCGGAGTCCACTCTCGGAGGGTCCACTCTCGGAGGGTCCACTCGTTCTGTCCCTGGTTTCTGTCTCTTGCTTCTGCCGTTGCTATCGTCTCTCAGCGCGGCACAGTAGACCAGCAACCTCGAGCCTGGCTTTGCCCCCAGCTCCTGACAGGTCTCTGACAGAATCCAGAGTGGGCGATCGAGTCATCATGGGTCGGCGAGTGAGGGGCTGCAGAAGGCTGTCTAAACGCATACCGGAATCATGCACGCCGCCATAAAGCGATCGCGTACAGGAACCGGAGCAAAGCAAGCTTAACGAAATGCCTTCTTCCAGCAAGAGCGATTTCGCCACAGACAGCAAATATGCTCCAATGTCCCCCGGACACTTTCACGGAGAACCGAAAACTCACATAGGAAGGGGCCTCTCCCCCTGACTCGGATGCAAGGGGTCCAACCCCGACACCACAACAACTAAGAACCTTCGAACCTTGCTCTAAAGAAGGTCCTCTAAACATCTCTCAAGCCTCTAAACACCCAAAATTCGACTCCAGATGTTTCCCGAGCAAACCAACTGCCAGGGGACCCCGGGTACAGAATGTACATGTCTACAGTGTGCATGTCTACAGTGTACATGTCTACATGTACAGAGACCCTTTGCTGGGAAGCCGGGACCGATTCGGCCTTCCGAAGCCTTCCGAAGCCTTCTCCCCGGCAATTTCAGTCTCAACTTTCGGTCGCGGTATCAAAGAATTCAATCCGGCTCTAGGGCTTCTTCAGGCTTTGAAGCAGTGAGCGCAAAGGATGACAGCAGATCAGCTGCTCCAGTGGGAGAACACGCGCGCGAGCGCAAACGAGTCAGTGAGTGAGCTGAAGTGGGTCCCAGGATGGGCGAGTGCAAACGATGATCGCGAAAGCCCATGTGACGTAGTGACAGTTTGCCGTAGATGCAGAAGGTGTGTCCAGTGTGTCCTGCAAGGCATCGATGAAGCCCGCGAAGTTGGGCCCTGCCAGCTGCAGGCCTCGTCGGATGGCCTCAGAGGCTCCCCAGCCTCTCCCTCGAGACACCCCCCCGATTCTCTGCGTGCCCGATTCTCTCCCCTCTTCTGCTCCTCCTCCTCCTCCTCCTCTTCCTCCTCCTCCTCCTCCTCCTCCTCCTTCTTCTGCGGGGCGCTCGCTCTCTCTCTCTGCCTTGCTCTCTGTGCCTCGAACTTGCCCTTGCGCTTGAAGTCTGTTCCCACGGCGGCGCGGGCGTCGTCGTCAAACAGCGGAAGGTTCACAGCACCTGACAGAGTCATCAGAGGCGCAAAGCACCCAAACAGATACCCCAGCGCCAGCCAAAACCTAACGCCATAGAACATTTGGGAAGGCTCTTCCTTTTCTGAAGGATTTTCCTGGATCTCATTGGCTTTTGTTTTGCGGTCTCCACAGGGTTCTCCCTTCTCTGGCGGATGCCTGGAATGTGGCCGACAGCGAACTCTCCAGGCGACCGCACGTCCAGCAGGAGCAGGCGAGGTCTCAACAGCCAAAGGGAAGCTAGCCGGACACTCTGTGGATCTGCGCTGACATCTGAGGCCCCTGCGAGGGCTCTGACAAGTCCCCGACTGAACCTTTCTGCATGTGACCAGCACTGGAGATGCGCCGGTGCACGGCACCGGTGCACGGCACGCCCTCCACAATGCCACAACGCGCTGCCGCCTTGTCCTGGAGGTCCATCGGCTGCCTCAAGGAAGTCCCCCACGTCCAGCGACTCCACGCCTAGAGGGCAATGCAAAGCAGCCTGTAAAGCAGAGTAGAAACCGTGTTGTTGCAATGTAGCGCGTTTGCATAAAGGGCGGGATCCAAACCAAAAGGCAGAGAAATGCATGCCGGATGGATTCTGAGTACATCACCCGGCCTGCTGCTGGCGCCGGAATGGCTGGGAAGAGGTCCATCTCTTCAAGCCAATCGAGCTCTGCAAATCACCGGCTTCCACTCCGCGGCGACATCGAACACTCAGAGGGCAAGTTGGTGCGGGCTCGAACACGGTCGAAAACAGCATCTCAGGTTTTGTCAGACTAGGGCAGCACCCCCTGAACGATTGCAGTGTGCAAAGGGAACTTGGGCTAAAATGGCCTGCTTTCGGTTGTGATTTCCAAAATCCCCTACCAGTACGTGACCATATGGGAGCGACTAGCTGGCTGCTGAGCCTACTCTTCTCTGCTGCAGATGTTGGAACACGCCCAAGCGCTCATGTGCAGCTGTCGGAGCAGGCAGCACGGCCAGAAAGCGCTGGAGCCAAACAGCATACAGCATCAAAACGCTTGCACACCAGTCCGTTTCCTGAAACTTAACGTAGAGCAGCGACAGACAGTGGTATGGCTTGGGGATCTGCACCGATTCTCTCTACGTGCACGAAGGCTCGTTGACCCTGGCATACTATACTGCGAAGGTAAGACAGTTTCGGGGTCGGTTGCACTGTTGGTGTCAACGGGCTACTTCCACTTGAAACCGCACTGCAAGCCAGACATCAGATGCATGGCCAGGCTTGACACGCCCAGAGCCATGGGCAGGAGAATGAACAGAAGAAGTGGAGAGGAGCGAGAGAGAGAGAGAGAGAGAGAAAGAGAGAGAGAAAGGGAGAGAGGCAGCGAGAGATGGAGAGAGGGAGAGAGGGGGAGAAGACGAGAGACAGGGAGCGAGCGACCCACCTTAGCCTGGCGGCCCAACTTGTTGCCGAAGGTCTTGAGGCAGATGGCGATGTGCCGCTGTCCCGCCTGCGACACCATGTGGCCACTGCCCTGAGGAAGAAAGCGGATTCGAGAGCAAAGGAGGATGAA